ATGAGATAAGTAAAAATGATTTAAGTAGGAGGAATAATTTGGCTCTTGTCACAGTGCCACTGAGTGAATGGCGTTATCATCAGTGTTTTTCCCTGTCTTTGTTGACTTCAAGAACGGCCTGGGGTATTTGCAAAGAAAAAAGAAAAATGAGAGAGGGGAATCATTTCCCCAAACACTGTATTTGCAGGACAGTCACAGTCTGGAAGCAGGAGCTTCTCCGATTTCCCATGTGCAGGAAAAGCACACACTTCGAGCCGGCCACCTTCACAAATGGAAATGCACTCCGTCTTGCTGGAACCGAGCGCTAGTAAAGCAATTAGACCACTCTTACGCAAGACGAGATAAACGATTAGTTAGAACTACCCGGCCTCTGTCTTCTGATAAGGATGATCTGCCGGGTATATTCCATTTGTGCTGTCGTGCACCCCTTCACGTGACAACTACCGAGTTCTAGACTCCAGGTCAGGGCCTCTGGGTATAAAGGTGAACACTCCAGGTGCCCGAACCTCGCAGTTTACAGATGGAGAGGCCCACAAGCAAATAAGTAACTTCAGGCCAGTGTGAGAAATGCTGTGGTTAAGCAGACCACTGGGCCCTGAGTGAGCTCCTTCCGTGACAAAACGGTTCATGAGTGCTGCCAACACAAAGATTATTTTAGCAATTAATCAGTAAATGGGAAAAAATTGAAAAGTCCTTAATCCAACAGTTGTTGTGTGATAGAAACTCAATAGATGTTTGCTTAAATTTGATGACAATCCTACAAATTCACGCATAACTGGGGGATTAAAGATTCATTTTTTTGTGAACCATCAATAGCAGTAATAACAAATTCAATCAAAAATGCTGAAGCGAAGACTGATGGCCTTCTTAGTCTCTTTAGAGGAAAATAGTTCCAAAGAGAGGAAAGCCAGAGAAATCAAGGAGAAACAAGTACTAGCAGGAGAAATCCAGATGGCTAATGAAGTTCCATGTGATTTTTATGGGTTTTTTATTTTTATTTTTTTTTACAATACTCATGGTAGTTGTCAGTGTTTTAATATTTTTCATTTATTTAAGTTTAATGATTTAGTATTTCTTTTTATCATGTTAAATAGTCATTTCTATTTGTAATTTTGTGTTTTTTTTTTTAAAGGAACTCATAAATTGTAAAAAGCTCCAGGATCCACAGAACCTGTGTGTCCACCCTCCCCTCCCCAGGTTCCTAACAATGGGAATTGAAATGAAGCTTCATAAGCAAAACAGACTTCGGAAATGCTGTCTTCACTATCATGCCCCAAAGCCTGCCGTAGCGCCTAACCCGTAGAGAATGCTTCCTAAAAATTTGTTAAAGGACAAATGAACAGTAAAACCCATCTCTAAATAGTAGCCAGCAATTATCAGAGACAGAGCTATGGGCATAAGGCAGGGACTACGCCCCATTTTGTTTCTGCCCGTTAACCCAGGCCTATGGCTCCTCTGCAGGCTTCGGGAGGTCTGAGGCTGTGTGTGACAGTCCCTCCAGGAATGCTAAGTGCATGCAAGGGGAGAGAGCTGTCCAAAAGACAGTGCGATAAATAGCGGTGATAAATACCCAGCCATGGGGACAGTGCCTCTAAGGAAAGAGAGCGCCCTGGGTGGGTCCAGATGGGAAAAGATCATGGAGGGGCAGACACTTGTGGCACAGGGGTTCAGCTGCTGCCACCTTTGCCTCCTGGCTTGAATCCAGGCACCCTACTTCTGACCCAGCTCCCTGCTAATGCACCCTGGAAGGCAGAGGATGGTGCCTCAGGGACTTAGGTTCCTGCCGCCCACATGGGAGACCTGGATGGAGCTCCTGGCTCCTGGCTTCCATCTGGGCCAGAGCCCTGGTTGTTGCTAGCATGTGCAGGAAACGCACATGAACTGGTGGCTAGAAAATCTCTCTCTCTTTCTCTCTTTCTCTCTCGCTCTCGCTCTGCCTTTAAAGTAGACAAAAACCGATTTCTTTTCAAGGTCATGGAAGCATGCCTCTGAAGCAGGGGGAGCAGAGGAACCCTGGGCAGAGTGAAGAAGCTACGGGGCAGAGCCCACGTGGGAGTCCCCGTGGCCCACTTCCAAGTGAAGGCAAACCACGTGGTGTGGCCAGGGAGTTCTGAAGGGAAGGATGATGTCACTTGGTGAAAAACAACACTGAAAACCAAGGATGACGCAAGCAGGGAAGTGGGGGCTGCGTGACGTGGAGCTGCTCATCTCCACGCACCCAGAATTCAAGCCAGGATGCTCCCATGGAGCCCAAACTCCTGAAGCTGAGAGCTGCCTGAAATAAAAGGGTTTATGGAGCCACTACAGTCACTGACTTAGAAGAAGCACCAGGTCCTCAGATGAGTTCCTACAACTTCCAACAGCCAGGCCAGATCACAGGTGGAAATACACCTGCTGGGCCAGGACTAAGAGTGTTTGTTTTAATGATACAAAGGTGGGGACAGGAAGTAAACGTTTGTTTATCTGGAATCTACACAGGCTGTAGTGAAGAGAGGCAGGGCCAGGCAGAGTGGGGACAGCTTCGGGATGGAGGACAGCCTAGAAGTACTGTTGCTTCTGGACTGCCTGGGTTGATAAGCAGGTGCAGCGGGGCCTAGGGCATCATAAGACCTGAGTTAAGGTCTGAGCATACTTTCAGGAATGAGAAAAGACCTTTTGCTGCAGACAGTTGACCAATTAGCTTCTCCCATCGCTCCTCGTCTCCAGCCTCCATCCTTGTGATCAAACTTAAACCAGGGCTGGGGGTTTGGCCTAGCAGGCTAAAGTGCTGGTTAAAGTGTCCACGTGCCACATCGGAGTGCAGGAATTTGACTCCCAGCTCTTGCTCCTGACTCTGCATCCCTGTGAATGCCAACCTTGGGAGGCAGCAGTGATGGCTCAAGTAGTGGGGCCCCTGCCGCCCACAGGGGAGACCTGGCTTGAACTCCAGGCTCCCAGGTTCAGCCTGGTCCAGCCTCAGCTTTTGCAGGCACTGGGGGTGGTGAGCCAGCAGCTGGGAGCTCTCCTGCTCAGGGCTGCAACTCCCTCCCTGGGCTTGGATGAATTTGCTGGGGCAGTTCACAGAGCTCAGACAAACACTCAGGCTTATCCATTTATTATAAGGGATATTACAAAGGACACAGATGGAGAGCCAGACGGAAGTGATGGGTAGGATGAGGAATGGAGAAGGGATCTGTCTGCCTATCAGTCTGGCTTGCAAATAATAATTCCTCTGAAAATGTTGGACAACTCGGAATGTCCCCCTCAGGCTCGTGCCCTTTCCCAGGCCACATGGACTACAAGAGCAGAGAAAAGTCCAGAACAGCGACCAAGTCAGCCATGTGCAAGTGGAGGCTGTGTGGGAAGAGGGAGAGGGCTGCATGGGGGCCACGAGGACCTCCTTTGCTCACACACTTAGCCGCCCTGCATGAGGCTTCTGACACCAGCTGGGTGGGGGTCCCCCGCTTGGCCCAATCAAGACCCCAGCTGGGAGGCCTCTGGTTGACTCAGATCACACAGGTCGAGGGTTCACTCCCGTGGACCACCCCCTTCAACTTCTGACCAACCAGCAATAAACTTGGGTTCCCACGGCCCTGTCTTTGGGTTCTATTAATTTGCTAAGGCAGTTCACAAAGCTCAGGAAAACACTCCATGTACCACGTATTATAAGGGCTACTGCCAGGGACGTGGGTGAAGAGCCAGACGGATGGGCTGAGGTGTGGGGACAGGCGACAGAGCTTGCAGGCCATCTGGGCTCTGCCCTCCGGGAATCGCCACGTGTTCAACCATCCTTGAGAGTTCCTATGGAAGTTTCGCCCTGTGGTCCTGATTAATTCCTCGGCCACTAGTGATGGACTCAACCTTCAGCCTTGGTCATCGGGTACCTCATTAGCACGTGAAAGGCACTCTGACATCTCTGGGGTTGCCTAGGATTTTAGGAGCCATGTGCCAGACAAGAGGAAGGAGGCCCAAACACCCATCCATTTCACAACAGCACAAGGGGAAGAAGGGGAGTCCTTCGGAGGCGGCAGCTCCTATTGCAGCAGGTCTGGTGCAGCTCCTTCCTCCTTGCTCTCCCCGCCTGACAAGTATCTGGAGGCCTGGGACTGAGAGAACCCCACTCCCCAGCTGCCCCTGACATTTGAAAATCTGTTCCCAGTTTGAATTAAGTGGAGTCTGCAGTCTTGGGTATGAGAGCGATTACAAATGAGAGAGAGAGAGAGACTTAGAAAGCAGCTTATTTCAGCCCTTTCTCCCCATTGCAACTGACCTTGTAGACAAATACATTCAGTGCAAATAGGCTCGCCCTGTCTCCAGTGAAGGGAAGCCTAGGAGATGGGATTTCGAGCCATCAAAGATTTGATGGCCTCATCATTTTCTCAGCCATTCTCAAAGGCCTAAGCCGTGCTGGTATCTGATGTTAAGCAAATAAAATCTAAGTCGCTCCTGCATGCAAGTGTCCTCCGGTTCTCTCTAAAACCAGGTCCTCGTCCTGCCTGTGTCCTCTGTTGCATTTGGGCCTCGTCCTGCCTGCGTCCTCTGCTACATGTGGGCCTCACCTTGGGCAGGCCGGGCACACAGCAGCGTGGACGTCCTGCCCGGCTCCACCTGCAGCTGTTGGACTGCAGAGCCGGTAGATCCCGGACCCCATGAGGCCAGGTGCATGGCCCTCAGGGGAATGGGGTCGTGTTCTCCCTTGACGACGCAGGAGATGTTGGATAGGACACTGACAGCTCTGTTGCAATGCTCAGCTCTGTGGACTGGGACCGCCCTGCTGTGCCAGACCTCAGACCCCGACCCCTGTGTGCCTGTGCCAGGTGGACGAGTGACTCCCCTCCCTCCCTCCCTCCTGCCCAGCCTCTGGGAGGCGTCACTCTATGCTCTACTTCTATGAGGTCACCCCTTCTGTGATCCACACACGGGTGTGATCGCCCAGCGTTTCTCTTTCCATGAAAGAGAAATTCCCCCCGCCCATACCTCCATCACCTCCCCAAGGTGCACAGGGGACCCAAACATCACACACAAGAAGTTGAATTTTATTTTTGGGAACATTTGCAAATGCTCAAGAAAAGAAACACTTTCAGTGAGCTCAGCCTGCGCATTGCTCCTGGTGATGTGGGCGGAGCGAGGCTACTTGGGGCTTTTCTGCAGCAGCAGTGACCAGAGCTGCTCCCTCGGGACGGCAGGATGCAGCACGCCCTCAGTAGGAACCAGAGGATCCTCCTGCCGACCCTGCGCCGGCCCTGCCCCTTGCCCTGGGCACTGGCTGTGGTGTCAGCGGTGGGTGGCTGCGGTGGCTGTGGTCCCAGCCCCCTCAGGCTCACGGGCAGCTGCGGCGGCTTCTGGCTCTGTGAGGTCCACACGGCTCCTGGCACTGGGGCTGGAGGGCGACGCCTTGGAGGCTGGCTGGGGGGCTGCGCTGGGAGCAGGGCTCCTCTCCTGCTGTGGCTGGCCTGGTAGGAGAGAGTCAAGAGTGGGGTCACCTTGGGGGTCTTGGGCTCAGCTCCTGGAGGCCCCAAAGTGGCAGGGGTAGGGCAGGACTCACTGGAGACTTGGGAGGAGTCAGGGGTGGCGCTGGGAGCAGGGCTCCACTCCTGCAGTGGCTGGCCTGGTAGGGGAGAGTCAAGAGTAGGGTCACCTCAGGGCCTTGGGCTCAGCTCCTGGAGGCCCCGAGGCAGGGGTAGGGCAAGACTCACTGGGGGCCTCGAAGGAGTCGCTTCCTGCGGAGGAGGAAACGTCGACGGCCATGCTGTCACGGCAACTCAACACCAGAGCCGAGCAGTCGTCCTCTATGGGGGGGCGCTTGCTGCTCTGTGAGGACTGGGGCAGGGACGCAGGATCCTGGGGCTGAGGGCCTGGCGTCCCCTCGGTCCCCGTGCCTGGCAGCAGGCCGAGGCCCGCCAGGTACTCCCTGGCCTCTGGGTCCTGGGGAACGCCCAGGGGCTGCAGCAGGGTGACCGCGCCCTCCTCGTGCTCCTGGGCAGCTTCTCGGCTGGGGCCGAACCACGAGTGGGTCCTGGCGTCCTCCGCTAGCCCTCTCTTTTCCCCTCTTCACTCTCACACAAATAGAATACAACTTAGAAAAAAAATGAGACTCCCTGCTTCAACTCCTCAGGACCTACACAGCCCAGAAGCGACAAGACTTGGCCGCATCACAGCCTCGGATCTGTCTCCTTGGGACAGCCTCGTGCTGAGCCCTCAGGACCTGTGTTTCTCCCCAGGAAGCCACAACCTCCTCTCAGGTAGGAAATGAGCCTGGGAACCCCCGCCCCACACAGCAGGTGGATCGGTGTCTCCTGCAGTTCTTGAGGAGCCCCCAGGGCCCAGCACAGCCGTGGGCCCAGGAACACGTGGTGATCCCTCTGGACCGACTGCCCAAGCCCTCTTGGGAGAGGAACCCTCCCTGGGGAGGTGACCCCTCCTCCGGTTGCCCAGGGACATTGCACGGTGCGATTTCTCCGTGATTTCCTGCAGTGCTGGTCACCTCCTCAAGGCTGGGAGGAAAGAACCAGCACCCCAGGAATTCTCACTACAGTTTCATTACTTAAGCCGAAAATATTAAAGTATGATGACTCTTGTTGCTGTTTTCCATTAAGTAAAGGTAATACCAATCTTACTTCTATGGTTTTTTTTCTTTCTCTTTATTCTTTGATTGATTGATTGATTTGAAAGGCAGAGTTACACAGGATCAGAAGTGCTGAGAGTGAGAGAGGTCATCCATCTGCTGGTCCACTCCCCAAATGGCCACAGATGCCGTGCTGTGCTGATCCAGGAGCCAGGAGCTTCTTCTAGGTCTCCCTCATTGAGATAGGAGTCCCAGGACTTGGGCCATCTTCTACTGTTTTCCCAGGCCATAGCTACCCTGCCTGGACTAGGCCCGTCTGAAGGCAGGCACCCAAACTCCATCCAGGTCTCCCCAGCAGGTGGCAATGCCCCAGGTAGTTGGCCATCTTCCTCTGCCTTCCCAGGCATGTTAGAAGGAGCTGGATCAGAAGCAGAGCAGCAGGGACCCAAACCAGCCTCCCAATATGGGACGCCAGTGTCACAGGCGGCAGCTTTACTGCTATGCCACAGCGCTGGAGCCCAGGCTTCTTTTAAGATTTATTTGAAAAGTCAAGTGATCTTCTATCCTCTGCGTACTCCCCACGTGGCCGCAATGGCCAGGTGGGCTGGTTTGAGCCAGGAGCCTGTGGGGCTGGCACTGTGGTGTAATGGGTTAAGCCAGCGGTGCAGTGCTGGCATCCACATGGGTGCTGGTTTGAGTCTCAGCTGCTTCACCCCGGATCCAGCTCCCTGCTAATGGGCCTGGGAAAGCTTCCGAAGATGACCCAGATGTTTAGGCTGCTTCTCCCACGTAGCAGACCTGATAGAAACTCCTGGTTCAGGGCTTCAGCCTGGCATAGCCCTGGCTATCGTGGCTATTTGGAAGACCTCTGTGTGTGTGTGTGTGCGTGTGTGCTTCTGTTCCTTTCTCTCTTCCTCCCTCCCTCTCTGTAACTCTGCCTTTCAAATCAATAAGGTAAATTATTTCAAAAAGGCTAGAACTAATGCAGGTCTCTCACGGGGGTGGCAGGGGACGGTTCTGGGGCCATCTTCTGCTGGTTTCTCAGGAAGGGCCGAGAGCAGAGCATCTCCAGTCCACCGTGCGTGGACAGCTCACGGGGAGCATAAGGCGCGGCTCCTCAGAGCCTGTCCCCAAAGCACCTGCCCCCGAAGGTCCGGGAGTGGTCACGCTGCCTTCAGCGGCCGCGCCCTCTGGGCTCCCGCCTCGGGACGCCAGGCAGAGAGCCTGTTCCATTTTCCTCGCTGCCTCACTGGGGCCCTTCATGCTGCACACAGGACTTGAGTTCATGTTCCGCCCTGAGGCTACGACGCTGAAAGTGACATCTGAAACACTGAACTAGTGATTTCCAGGAGGTGTGGACACTGCCAGCACCTGGCAAGCACACGTCATCCTGGGAGTTTCCATGGGGCAGGGAGACTCCCGAGGAAGGCGGTCACGGGCCGATCCTGGAGAACTGGAAGTTCACTGGGTGGGGCCCAGAAGCTCCTCCAGGCCGAGGAGGCTTGCTTGGGCTGCTGGTGTGGGGCTGGAGAGACCTGGCTCGCAGAGGGCAGCCGGCCACTCTGTTGGGTGGGCAGGTAGACACTAGCCTGTGTGTGTGAAAGAGGCCTAAGGGAAGACAGGGAGTTCGCTGGGGGAGGAACAAGCAGCCTTAGCAGGCCTTGGAGAACAGCCCAGTGTTTGCACGTCAAAATCCTGCCCATGTCCCCGTCAGTTAGGTGGTCCCAGCCTGCCCCCTGGAGACGTCCCGGGAGAACATTGGGGAAGAAAACTTTGGGGGAATTTTTACAAATTTCACACCCAGAAAGCCCATTGCCCAGCAACATCCTAGAAGCTGGGGGAGGAGAAGCACCAGTCAGTCAGAACGCAGAATCAGACATTTCTGATGAGCTGCCCATTTGCCCTGTTGCATGCACTACCTCCTTAAACCTTGCTAGTTTGTTTACCACTGCTCTCTTCTCACATTGGAGACAATGTTGCAATAACATCTAACTTGCTGCTGTTAATAAACTGGTGGGGGTTGGGGGAGAGCCTTGCCAGGGAGGAAGGGAAGTAAAACACATCCTGGGGTAATGTGATCTCTCAGCCTCATTTCTGCCTTGTTCCCTGACTCTGCAGAGTCCATTCACTGATGGCCTTGGCCTCAAATCAGACCCCCGTACTCCAGGGTTAGCCCCTGCGGTGTGTGTGTGTGTGGGGGTGCCTGGATGCCCGTGTCTCAGCTGTCACCCAGGACTCTGCTCCCCTTGGCCATCACTAGAGAGCTCTGCGGCCAGCCCCGCCGGCTGTAAGAGGATGGCCCAGCCCAGGGCCATTGCTTCAATTGCCCCAAGTGCAACTGTATCCAGACTGGGTGTTAACAACAGAGTGTCCAGGTGCAGGGAGGACAAAGGGGAAAAAGTGCAGAAAGTGCCTGGGGACAGGCTCTGTGCCTGGGCCAGGGCTGACTTATGCTCCCTGGGGGTCCCCTCCTGCCTGGACCCTGTCCCTCCAGACTGTGACAGAGGTCTCCCCGCCCCAGCCCCTTGTCCTTGGCACAGCTTTACCTCAGCCCCCAAAGGGCAGCGTCTTCAGACAACATCAAATGAGCCCCTGCAGGGCAGACACAGCCACCCTTTGGCTTCTCAACTTCCATTCACCACACTCATCTGTTTCATGCAGAAGGAAAACAACTCTTGG